AAGCCTCTAAATATTAACTTTGTCTCTGCTCCTGCTTTCTGTGCCAAAATCACTCCACTTCCAGAGATTTCTCATGTAGGGGAAAGAGTACTTGATGCAGGAAGCAAGCTCTTGAAAGAAATTGACACCCAAACAATATGACAAGGAAGCATGCACAGAGTGCCTCTGGAGCACTGCTATCAGTATCAGGCCCTCCCAATGGTTGTGAGCCTAGGACAGAAGAACAAAGGCTTCAGAAAGCACAGCGGTGGGCATAGGAGGAAAGATTCCTGCAATTTCCCAGGTGAAGAGATTGCGAGGTTTGCCTACCTCAGATTGTCTCTGCCCTTGTAATAGGGATAAAGTTGAATCAGTTGGTCATGTCCTCCTTTTCTGTACTGTACTTGCTATCTTCGTATGGAGCTTTTATCACCTATTATCTGTAAATCTCCTGGGAGATCAGAGGAGGATTATGTGCAGTGGCTACTCTCTGACAATACCCGTTACATTACAAGACAAGTGGCCAAATGCTATGCTGCAGCAATGGTTATACGTAAACAGATGTTTGGGTAGGTGATTTTAGGTGGATAATATGCTTTTAATATAACACTGCCTGAGGTTTTACCTATATTATGATGTTATTAATCAAAAAGTTGTTTTATCATGTTTTAATAGAATTTTATTACCCTGCCTGACTTTACGAAACATTATATGTAAGGGACGTGGTGGTGCTGAGAAGGGATGTGGTGGCGCTGTGGTCAGAAGGCCAAGCAGTCGTAAGATCGAATCCACGCGACGGAGTGAGTGCCCATCGCTTGTCCCAGCTCCCGCCAACCTAGCGGTTCGAAAGCATGCAAATGCAAGTAGATAAATAGGGACCACCTCGGTGGGAAGGTAACAGCGTTCCGTGACTAAGTCGCACTGGCCATGTGACCACGGAAGATTGTCTTCAGACAAAAATGCTGGCTCTGTGGCTTGGAAACAGGATGAGCACCGCCCTCTAGAGTCAAACACGACTGGACAAAAACTGTCAAGGGCAACCTTTACCTTTATATGTGCAGTATCCACTTTATATTGATCTGGTTTTACTGGTCTTTGACTGTAATAAAGTATACTACTACAGGTCAGGAGATGTGTGTGAAAGGGGACTTTCTCTTGATGGGGGGACAGGAAGGTCCCTTTGCACACCCGGCAGGGTGTCCTGCATCCAGCTTCCCAGAATTGTGGCATGTGAGCCATCATGAGCTAGCTTTTACCCCAGGACCAAAAACATCAGTTTAAAAAAACATGGCTTTCCTTTTGAGTTTTAAAGCGATTCTGATTCCTGCTACTATTCCCAGCAAGAAGCACTTGATTCTACATTACCAATTTAATTTGCAGATTTGCAATTGTAGTTCAAAACCTACACTCAGTTTTATGAGGCCAAGCAAACATGGCACCGAAAAGTTTCCATTACTAAGCCTTCATCAAGCATAATCTCGGAAAGCTAGACTGGAGTGGTTTTTTTTTTTAACATATACGTATCAAACAATAAATAATTTTTTTCCTAACTAGGAAAAAAAAAGATCATAATTGCAGGATCACCATTTTATATGTCGTTACTGTGGGTTACACTGTGGTGTAGTGGATAGGATGATGATGATGTGCCTTCAAGTCAGTTCTGACGTATGGTGACTTTCCTCAGAAAAACTATTCCCACTGTGTTCATGGCTTCAGAGATGAAGAAATTCTACCAGATTTTCAAAATTTAGTTTAATGACACAAGTACTAGACACAGAGTATGGCAGTCTTGGACTCTCTGGAACCTGTCTGAGGCAATTTGAAGTATTATTGGCAATGAACCTTCTGCATAATGAGAAAAATTCAAGGAAATGCAATTGATAAATTGCCTGTATAAAGCTGATGAGCATATATTTTCCTTTAAGACCATGATTTAAAACAGTGTCAGGAATCATATGATGGGTGGGAGGGGTGGGCTGCAAATGGCCAAATCTGTTTTCAAAACCACCTAGTAGGAAGAGAGAGAAAAACTGCTCATTTTTTCTGCTGTGTCGACTTTCTTCACAAGCAGTGAACTGAAGCTAAAACATTTCCCACACTCCTGGCATTTGTACAGTTTCTCTCCTGTGTGAACTCTCTGAGGAATGAGAATGTTTTAATTGCTAGTAAAAGATTTCCTACATTGCTGGCATTTGTATCTTTTTGATCCTGTGCAGGCACTTTAAAAGACTCACAAGGCATAACTCACCATCTAAATATTTCCCGGGTAATTTGCTTACAAAGCACTTGTTTCCAGGAATGTAAGCCTTTGGGTCCGAGTCACAAATCCAAGTCTGAGTCTTTAGTACCAAGTCCAAGTCTGAAATCCTTATTTTCCCCCTGTAAAATGCGAGGGTGTGTATGTGGGGAGGTCTGAAGCTTGTGAACCACCCACGTCTGGTCCCATCTGCCTTTCCCCTGAGCATCTGATTGTCACCACAAACTTGCTTTGAAAAGCATACTAGTATCAAAATCCAAGCCATTGATTTACACAAAAGCTGTGCTCTTACTCAACTACAGTATATCAAAACTGTGTATCAGATTTAAAAAGTACTTTTCTCAGTACGACATGGTAAGATTGATCCCTCAGCCCAGGGCTGGGACACTAAAACTCTAGACATTACACACAAATTAACCTGCTGCAATTATTCAAACTTATCAAGATTGCATTTAAGGAACACAATTTTCTCTACGTGATCGGCCCCCAGTCTGCCACAGAGAGGTCTCATCACAATTCCACCCTCACCGAAGACCCGCTCCACTGGTGCTGAGCTTGCCGGAATGAGAAACACACTCAGCGCAGCAGCGCTGAGTAATCTCAGCTCTTTGCAATGCCTCCCCCAAAACCTCAACACATTCACTGGGCTACACTCACTGCTTTGAGTGACTAGGGAACTATAAGAACGCATCTCAGCGCCAAAGTCCATTTGCTCCAAGTCCGAGGCTGAGCTTGTTCCGGTACTCGGCTTAATATATGCAAACAGAGAAGTCGACATACAGGCTTTCTTCTTCTGTGGAGCGCCTGAGACCGCTTCTGTGCGGGAAGACTGATAGGGTGACGACAACAGGCCGGGTTGATTTTTTTCCAATGTGCAGCAGAACTGCTGAAGTTCACTTAATACCTTTTCTTTCAGCTCAGCGGTTTCCTCTTCGTTGTCGCTGACTTTCTGGAGCCACCAAAAGTGGAAATTTGGGTCCAGCACAGCAGCAATGAAGTAGATGTAATCGTGGAAGCCCAGAGGCCTCTGACCCTCGCTCTGTGGCACAGGCGGCAACAAACCAGCGATCACCAAAATGCCAGTGAATCTGGTCTCCAGGCTGTTCCTCAACGCTACAACCATACTCTCCAGATATATAGGTTGCAGATGTTGCAAGTGGTGATACAGCCCAACAACTGACGGCACAACCACTGAAATGGTCACCCCCTTGTCACTTTGCACTACCATTGTGGCTTCTAGAAAGGGCTGGAGAATTTGGCTCAATTCCTTGAGCTGGCAATACTCCGTGACGGAAAGTTTCAAGTTTGTCTGGTTCCCATCATCCAGCGCCTTCCTCATCTGTTCCTCATCAAGTTCAAGGAATGCATTGATGAGGTGCAAGGTACTGCTCCATCTAGTGCTGACGAATTCTGGAATGGTGAAATTGGGCCCGAATCTTCTTTCAAATGCATCTTTGAATACAGCGCTTGTGTGCAGCAAACTACAGGTTCCGAAGACCTTGGCTAGGGCTGTGCTCCTTTTGGCTTCTTTTAAGCCATCACTCACACATAACTGCAGGGCGTGTGCGAAGCAGGCCAGCCTCTTCAAAGGCTGCCGGGTTCCTGCTGAAGAAGCAGCCTGCTGCACAAGGGTAACAACCACATCTTCGTCCACATCCTCCCAGTATTCCAAGTTCTCCACTGTCGTGCTGCCTCCTCCCTCTAACTCACAACTCTTGTCTTCTTCTGCCAGCTCTTGGTGCTGGGTTGCAGGTGATTCGTCCGCAGAGGGAAACTGACTGGCAAAGGCCGTGATCATGTCACCTGCTTTGTCCGTCACTACATAGCGGATTTTCTCTTTCACATTGAAAGAGGCACAGATGTTTTCAAACACGGCAAAGATGTTCTCGTGGGTGTGTCGCCCTAGAAATCTGTGACACGCTAAGAGTCGCGTTTTCAGTTCGGAATCGAGGATGGCATGTGCTGTGACTCCAAGGAAGCCTCGCATTCTTCGGCTGGACCAGATGTCTAACGTAATTGCCAGATCATCTGCCTTGGTGAGAAGCGCCATCACTTCTTCTTTCACTTTGGCATACAGTCTGTCGATTTCCATGGTTACGGCGGCCCTTGTCACGGCTCGAGAACCCGGGTCTAACACTGCGCAGAACCGGCGAAACTGTGGTCTCTCGACCAAAGAGAGTGGCAGAGAGCATCCGATGATTAAATCGTTCACAATGGACCGCACGATCCTCTTTTGTTTGGGGTGGTTCTGTCCGTAACCCCTTGAGGCATTTTCCACGAGGGGTGCAGAAGGAGCCACAGGACTTGCACACTGGCAGTCTGAAAACCTGGCCGGTCTGGAAGAGGCAGCCCCATCTCTACCAACTTCCTGTTGATACCGCTTAAATTCTTCATGCTTCCCAGAATGGGTCTTAATGTGCCGCAGAAAGTTCGATGTGGTAGACATGCCATCAGTTATTAGGACGCCACAGAACCGGCACTTTGCGGTGCGCAGTTTCTCCGTTTTCTTTTTGACGTCAGTAAAGCCAAATGCTACAATAGACTTCCTTGGAATACTCATGGGGAGGAGGGGAAAGTTTGTGTCTCTCCACATCTGGCTTGCAATTGCCGCAAGCGTGTCGTCCGTCTCAGTCTGATAAAATATAAATCACAGAATACCTCATAATTAACCCCATAGTGGAAAGCAGCAACCTGCCTTAGCCTGGCTAAAGATAAATTAATAAATAAAAGCATTCTTTTAAAAATATAAGTGACCTGTGTCACTCATTCAACGGCGGCGGCGGCAGCTCCTTCCTGGCCTAACTCAAGTGCACCTGGCGTATAAGACGCTCCCCACCTTGAAGGCATGTTTTTGGGGCCAAAAAAGTAGTCTTATACGCCGGCAAATACTCTCTCTGTATGTATGTATGTGTGTGTGTGTGTGTATACATACATACACACACACACACAGCACCTGCCTGGTGAAAGAGAGGGACCTTGCTTCTCAGTTACCTGGCCTGAGATAATAATATTATTGCTAGCACAGTCATGGCCAAAAATATTGGCACCCTTGCAATTCTGTCAGAAAATGTAACCCTTCTCTCAGAATATTGTTCAGATCTGGACTCATTGTTGCAGGTTGAAAGAGTGGTCCAGAATTCCAGTAGAGAGGTATAAGAAACTAATTCATGGTTACAGGAAGCGACTGATTTCAGTTACTTTTTCCAAAGGGGGTGCGACCAAATATTAAGTTAAGGGTGCCAATAATTTGTGTTACTTTACAGGCAATGAGGGTATAACAATGTTATTTTTTGTGAAAATTATGTAATAACTGGTGTGCGTGTGAATGTGTGTGTGCATGTGTGTGTGTTTGTGTGTGTGTGCGTGCGTGCGTGCGTGCTTGTGTGTGCGTGTGTGTGTTGCTCCAATGCAAACCAAACCAAACCATATGCAACAGCAAAATATTCTGAGAGAAGGGTTGCATTTTCTGACAGAACTGCAAGGGTGCCAATATTTATTGGCCATGACTGTATGTGCCTCTGATTGTGTTGCTGTTATAAATAATAATCAAAGCACTGGCAGTAAACAACCTGCCTTAGCCAGCTTCCTAGACAGAGAACAACTTGGTGTTGAAGCCTGAGCCAGTCACCCAGTCTGACTACCCTAGCTGTTAACAAAATAAAAGTGCGGGAGAAAATGCCTAGACGTTGTACAGTATATATATATATTCCTCCTCCCTGCTCCCCTTCCCTTGCCCAGCCCATCCTGCTCGTGGCCAATAAGGGAAACTCCCCAAGCCTACTTTGCCTTCCCTCACCCCTCCACCTTCTCAAAAACCCTCCTTCCCTGTTGCGACGTCGTTATTTATATAACATTTATCTGCCTCTCCCTCAAGTCTCTTTTAAAATAATAGGGACTTGAGACTCAGGAAAATGGGTCCAAGTCCTAAATCAAGTCCAAGTCTTCAACAATCACAATCCCTAGTCGAGTCGCCAGTGTGACTTAAGTTGGACTCGACAGCGAGTTACAAATCCCCGTCCCTGCTTATTTCCAGTGTGGACCCTTTTGTGAACCATCACTGTTCTTTACGCACAATGCATTTGTAGGCCTTCTCTTGGATACGGCTCTCTTCTTCTGTGTGGGCTCTCTGGTGTCCGTCAAGCTCTACTTTGTGTGTAAAGCTCTTTCCACATTGGGGACATATACTTTTCTCCCTCCAAATATTTTCTGGGAAGAAAGACAAATGCATAAAAGAATGGACTGAAGAGACAAACAGATCTACGGGGGTGGTGGGGGTGGAGGTTTTCTGAAAAAGATGCATGAAAGCGCACATGGAGAGACATATCTTAATATTTCAAGTGCGTCAACAGTTTGTCATTTATTCCTCCTTTATTCCTCTTTATCTCATCTAGAGATATAACCTAGAGAAACTACACTTTTTCCTTCATGGTCACCTGGGACTTACCTGAAACTCTTTTAAGGTCCTTTTCATTTTGCTTGTTATTACAGGAAGTGTACTTGGATCTTTAAATTTTATAATTCTTTCCTTGCCCTTTTACAATTTCAGTTTAACATGTTTCAATACGGTTTTATCATTCTTTTATATGTGACCACTGCAGGAAGAAATCTGCCAGTTTGGCAGAGGTGGAGTGCAGCAACAAGGCAGGGTTGGAAAGGCCAGTTACTCTGTAAAGTTGTCATTGTTGACAGAAACTCCTCTCAAATGAACTTGCAAACCACAGATCAGACATGTATGGCAACTTG